GCCCCCGCCTGTACCGCGCTGCGCCCCGCCCCACCCCGGGCCCCCAGCCCGCTTGTAGCGCGCAACGCCCATCCCCTTCCCAGCTCTCTTGTGTCATGCAGCGCCCCCCGCGCTAGTCACTTGTACCTTGCACTTCCCCCCGCGCGCTCCCCGGCCCGCTTGTACCGCTGCCTCACGGGCTTAGCGAGGTCATTGTCCTCTCACAGCCCAGCCCGATTGTAGCGCCCAGCGCTCCCCTCCTGGCTGCTAGAACAACAAGGCGCCGCGCTCCCCTAGCAGGAGCTACCCACGGGCCTTACAAGTAGCACTGCGCCCCCCTCCCCCTTGTAGCGCTCTGCAGGGGGAGCCTCGCCCCCCCCACCTGCTGCAGCCGGCGCAGGGAGAGCCAAGCGTGCGCCTCCCCCGCCCCCCGGGGCCCCTTTGTGCTGCTGCTGCTCGGATCTGCCCTAAGACACGCGGCGGATGCGTCACGGCGGAGGCGCTGCTGCTGCTGCGAGCTACGCGCACGAGCCCATTAACCCCAAGGCAGCCCAGCGCCGATCGATCGCGTCGCTCCCCTGCACCCAGCCTCCCGCCCGAGCCGCTCCGAAGAGGCGTCCGAGCCGCGCCGCCATTTCCCAGCGCTGAAACAGAGAGCTCGGAGCCTCCCCCACCTTGCACCCACCCACCAGCCCCGCACAGAGAGAACGGCAGAGGAGCAGCTGAGGTAGGTCCGAGCCGCGGCTTTTCCGTCGCCAGCGATTATTGCTGGGGTGGGAGCTTCATGCCTAGCAGCTCAGGGTGGGGAAGGACGTGGAGGGCTTCTCATTGCGCCCCGCTCTCACCCACGTCCTCTGGAGCCGGGCGCGCTCAGAGCAAGAGGAGCAGGGACGGTGCGCAGAGGGGGGCGGTGTCGCTGGACACAAGGATGCAGCAATGGAGACTGTGGAAATGGATTGATGGACGTGGGGCGGTGGCGGCGGCGGCGGGGGGCAGGGGGAGACGAAGAAGAGAAGCTCTATGGATGTAGATAGGTGGAGAGGTGCAGTGATCCCCTTTGTGGATGGAGAGGACTGCGGGGATGGATGGATACCATTATATGGAAAGATGTTGCGTTTCCGCTGGATGTTATTCAGGGCTTCTAGAAAGCGCTCTGGAGAGGATGCAGTTCACCCTTGGGCTATGAAGGAATACACCGTTGTAGTTAGTCACGCTAAGAAAACAACACCTCCATCCCCAAAACTGTCATGCAGTTACAGCTGATGCCTTCTTAATGACCATTCGAAAGTGAGAGGGATGTTAAAAAGTGGAATTAGGTCACTTGAGATCAACGGAAGAAATGATGCCTGAAAAAATGTATTTTAGGATTTGTGTGTTTGTTTTGGGGGGTATATTTTTGCCATAATATGTGTTTGAGTAGCACTACGTTATGGTTTTCTTTTTTTTGTATGTGTGCTTGTAGGAAATCCTTTTTTCTTTTTAATCCAGGAAGGATGGTGAAACTAGGGAATAATTTCAGTGAGAAGAGCACAAAGCAGCCCCTCTTGGAGGATGGATTTGACACTATCCCCTTGATCACACCCCTGGACGTCAATCAGCTACAGTTCCCACCTCCTGATAAGGTACAGTAGGCTCCAGTTTGCACTACAGAGAATCACACCCAAATTGCTCACAAAGAACAGGAGAATAATTTCTATAGTAGGGCATTTTAAGGAGTGGCTATTTCTTCACAGAAAAAAAAAATAAACTAATGGTAATCACGAACATGTCAATTAAAGTCTTTTTTTTTCATTTAAATGCCATCATGAAAACACTTATTGTAAAAAAAAAAAATCAGGTATAAGTAAATTTCGCTTTATTTGGTACTGTGGGACACAATGAGGTATTTGCAAGCTTGTTTGTGATCACTTGTCACTCTTTATATTGTAGCCCCATCTTTAGAATCTTTAAGGCAGCTGTGAAAATTCATTGTGAAATACAAGTCTGTTGGCTGTAAGACATCCTACAGTGTGGAAGCATTGCTTTAGGACTCCAAAGGGCGGGTTCAGGCAAAATAGCCACACAGGGGATCTTATGTACCCCTCAGGTGGATCTCAGAAGGGGCTCCATGCAGGCGCCAGATAAACCAACAGGGGAAGTTGTGGATGGGATAGTTACTAGATTAATAATTAATCTATCCTGCCCTCCACAATTCTTGAATACAGAGAGAACTTGTGTGAATGTTTGGGGTTGGGGCTAGTATCTGCTGGTCCAGTCCACAGACTGGAATGTGTTTCAAAGAAAGTTTGTATTGCTGCCCCATATCTTCTTGTCCACTTGGAGGAGAGGCTTGTATTCTGCCTCCCTGACAGCTGTTTACGAGTCGCTTATGCAAAGCCTGATTTGTGCAGCCTGAGGATGAAGGACAAATACATCTCAAAACACTTTTCTGACCCTGCACAAATAATCTGATAACACTTATCACTTATGTGACATAATGAGACTGGTTCACGAAGATTTTTTTCAAATATTCTTCCATTTGTATAACTTAAAAACTTAATGGTTTCCATTGTTGATACTTTCTGGAGCCACAAATTCAGACTGGCAAATGATGATTAAATATATTTGGTAACAAATTTCACGGTGAGTTTATGCTTTGTAATCTTTGAAGGCTTGATTCTTTTCTTAGATATATGGTAGATATAGGTTGCATGTCTTGAATATTTCATATGTTCTTACACTAGGAAAAAAAGAATAGCTGTAAAACTGTCTAAAAATGTTTATGTATGGTCTATTTATACCATTGACACTTCTGTCTAGGATGTGATCACCAGTTGGCTGACACTTTACATAGGATTAGCCCATAGCCTTAGAATCCATATCTGCTCTGAGTTACATGTGTGTAATTCCTGTACTGATGGCAGAATTGGACACTTAGGCTTTAAAACTGTTGCTGTGGCTGATTGTGTTTGCTGTCTGGTGACCAGGCAACCAATTAGCAGGGTCGTACATTCAGAGGCTGAACTTATTGAGTATGTGTGTTATATTACTTAGCTGCTAAGCAGAGCCTTGAAGCAAGAATCCCTGTGGTCCACAGGCAGCAGCTTCACCAAAATGGAGTCTCCGTGGCTAAGCCAGTAAAAACTGTGCTGAGTTTTTCTACTGGAAGTTGTTCTTTTATTGGTATGTGGTCAAGTGGTACTGGGCAGAACTCACACTGCAGACAACAGGAGTTATGTGAGCAGAACCAAGGGCAAATTACATGGACCCAAAGTCGAACAGAAGACTCAGACATTTGCTTAGCATTTCTTTTTTTCCCCACTGCTCAAGTATGTGTGTTTCCCTTCATTTGTGCAATTATTTACACATGAATATAAGAGTATTTTATAGGTCTCTATAGGTCCTTTTTGTGCTCAGCTGGTCCTAGCCATGTAAAATGCTTCTTAGTCTCAGTCGTGATGAGGGATGGTTGGGACATTATTAACCTAACATTCAATGAAGGTGCAAACATCTTTGTGTAGATTCTTGTGTTAGTACCCTTCCTACCTATTACCTTTTATCCTTATCTGCTTCATTTTAACTATCCAATCTTCAGGTGCTTACTGATGGCCAGTTCTGCCTTCCTGTTTTTCCCTTTCATATTTTCATACCCCCTTCTCCTTGTTTCCCTTCCCCCCTCCTTTTTTTCCTTTCCCCCCTCTCTCTCTTCTCCCCTATTTATTTTGAGTCTGCACATCCTAAACTCAATACTCCGGTCATCTGGAGAAGTGGGCTAAGCCCACGAAAGCTCATGATACCATCTACATGTTTTGTTAGTCTATAAAGTGCTACCAGACCATTTGTTGTTTTTTAAGCTTATCTTGTAGGTCACTGATACAGTCTTAAATGTTCTATCTTTAATAGCTCTCATAGTAAAGGTGCCAGTAGTAGTAAGGATTGATAGAGATCAAATTCTGAAGTATAAGTATAGCCATGTGTAATATGGATAAGTACATACTTCACCTATCCATGCTTATTATGCAGTACAAAGCTCTAGTGTGGGAGTGAAGCATAAAAAACTTTGTGAAGAATAGTGATTTTAACTCTTAGAATGTGATGGTTTTGACAGTTCCTAAATTAAAGACTGAATTGATTTAAGTATATTTTTGGTTATATTAAACAAAAGAAAACATTATATAACCATACAGATAAAACTATGTTCATTGTCATTTGGATATGATTTTGATTGCCTGAGACTAAGCAACATAATGAAAGGGGGGAGGGACAGCGCATTAAAATGGGAAAAATAAAAAAAAAGCCATTGAACATAATTATAATCAAAATGAAGATAAGATGTATGGAAAATAGTTTCCAATAACTCAGCACATTTTCTAAAGGCAATCATTTTGTGTTGTGGCATTAGACCCAAACCATCACACATTCAAGACACTGCTTAAGAGAAGGAACTGGCTGTAAAAGTAGGCAAACCCAAAGGTTTCAGTTCAGGCTCTTGGTTAAGTGTCACAGTTCTGCTTTGAGAGGTATATAGTTCCCATTTTATCTAAAGACAGTATTGGGGGTTAAACCAAATTAAGACTTATGGGACTTGAGGAGAAATCTCTTTATGGAGGAGGCTTGTGTGAAGCTAATTACCATGGGTAAATATATTTTTTAAAAAGCTAGCCTAGTACTTGAACAATATCACAGCATACATACAGAACAAGGTAGGTAGATAGGTGGATGGATGGATGGATTGACCTACAGAGGGCATTTTACTTCTTTCAATTCCAGAATGCTTCTGTGAAAGAATACTGCTATTGCTACTATGTTATTATTGACAGAATTTTTAAACTGACCTCTTAATTGACTATCTGATCCAGTCAATCTCTGGCTTGAAGCCTCACTAGTTGAATTCTCCTGAAGCTGATTGAGATGACCATTGTGACACTCTGACACTATCCTGAGCAAACCTTATAGAATTAGATAAACTTTATTGAATTAAGTTAAATATTATTGATTTAGGGTTTAATACCTTTGGGGTACATTGTATTAAAAATGCAGTTGTGTATGTGTTAGGGTATGTCTACACTACCCTCCTAGTTCGAACTACCGTTACTCCTCGTGAAATGAGGAGTAACGGTAGGTCGAACTAGGAAGCCTAGTTCGAACTACCGTTACTCCTCGTGAAATGAGGAGTAACGGTAGGTCGAACTAGGAAGCCTAGTTCGAACTACCGTTACTCCTCGTGAAATGAGGAGTAACGGTAGGTCGAACTAGGAAGCCTAGTTCGAACTACCGTTACTCCTCGTGAAATGAGGAGTAACGGTAGGTCGAACTAGGAAGCCTAGTTCGAACTACCGTTACTCCTCGTGAAATGAGGAGTAACGGTAGGTCGAACTAGGAAGCCTAGTTCGAACTACCGTTACTCCTCGTGAAATGAGGAGTAACGGTAGGTCGAACTAGGAAGCCTAGTTCGAACTACCGTTACTCCTCGTGAAATGAGGAGTAACGGTAGTTCGAACTAGGAGGGTAGTGTAGACATACCCTTAGTGTGTATCTTTTCTAGTAAGGATGGGGAGGTCAACATACTTCCTTTATCAACCCTCTGAAACCCACCTCCCCAGAAAGACGCACAAATATGAGTTCAAACTAGATTCTCTAGAGACCAACAGACAAAGGAAGAGTTTTGGGATAAACATCTGGCTTTAAGCTGGCTCGTGACCTTTTTCCTAATGGGCAGGACCCTGGTCCACAGAGGACCCCAATCCTTTGGGAAGTATTGGAAGGACTGGGCCTAATGAGGCCCCATAAGACCAGGTGCTTGTTCTGAAGTGAAGCTGTGATGAGCTTGTAACCAGAAGGAATCCTCTTGGGTGAGGTGTTGAAGGACTGCTCCTGACAGTCTCCCTGTTAGGGAGATCTCTAGTAAGCTTATTAATATACATATAAGTACTTTCATTGTTTTTTTCCCCCCTCTGTAGTGAAGAAAATAGGCTTGCATGGGAAGTGTTATGTGGTACCTTATAATGGTACCAATTACATCTGGTAACAGTCTCGGAAGAGAAAGCGTAACTCACACACCTAGGGCTCGTCTACACTGGCCCCTTTTCCGAAAGGGGCATGCTAATTTCACAGGTCGTAATAGGGAAATCCGCGGGGGATTTAAATATTCCCCGCGGCATTTAAATAAAAATGTCCACCGCTTTTTTCCGGCTTTTAGAAAAGCCGGAAAAGAGCGTCTACACTGGCCCCGATCCTCCGGAAAAAAGGGCTTTGAAGTAGGAATAAGAGATCCTCCGGAAAGGGGCTTTTTTCCGGAGGATCGGGGCCAGTGTAGATACTCTTTTCCGGCTTTTCTAAAAGCCGGAAAAAAGCGGCGGACATTTTTATTTAAATGCCGCGGGGGATATTTAAATCCCCCGCGGATTTCCCTATTACGACCTGTGAAATTAGCATGCCCCTTTCGGAAAAGGGGCCAGTGTAGACGAGCCCTAGGTGTGTGAGTTACGCTTTCTCTTCCGAGACTGTTACCAGATGTAATTGGTACCATTATAAGGTACCACATAACACTTCCCATGCAAGCCTATTTTCTTCACTACAGAGGGGGGAAAAAAACAATGAAAGTACTTATATGTATATTAATAAGCTTACTAGAGATCTCCCTAACAGGGAGACTGTCAGGAGCAGTCCTTCAACACCTCACCCAAGAGGATTCCTTCTGGTTACAAGCTCATCACAGCTTCACTTCAGAACAAGCACCTGGTCTTATGGGGCCTCATTAGGCCCAGTCCTTCCAATACTTCGTTCATTGGCCAATGCAGTGGCATTTAGATCACAGCAACAGTTAAGACCAAGAAACCTACAGGATGGGCTGGGAGCCAGCTGGCTTTTTGCTCAGAGGGTAGAGGCTCCTATACTCTGCTCCAGAGGTCTCAAGTTCAAATCTGCCTGGTGGTGATTACAAAAGTAAATAGGGGTCCTTGGGCAACCTCTCTGTGCTGGGAATAACACAGTGAAGACAGGGAACTGTGCAACCTGGAAATAATCAGAAGGGAGATAGATGTGAATCTCCGCCATGAGTATCATAGGTGGGAGAAGGCATTGCTTTCCCAAACTGCCAGGCTGACTCCACCCCAGAAGGCCTACTGAGGGTCAGAGTGTTGCTGCAAGAGGCAATGCAGCACTAACAAAATGGATCATTTGTGGAATAGTTTTTCTATTATATGCTCCCTTCAAATTCCTCAAACACATGGAAGGGAAATTCATCAGCATTTGCTAGTTGAAAAAGGGTAAAATTGATAAGAATATTTTAATTTTCATGTCCTCCATGAGGCAGTTATATGTAATAGGAAATATACTTATTTAGTTAGCATCAGTGGTATGTTTGCCAGTGAAAAAAAATAAAATGAACTTGAAAAAATTACTTGATGGTTGGGACCCAAAGTATTTATACCGTACACACGATTGTCATTATCTTTATACAAAATATGCCTAACATTTGAAAATGAATAACTCACTCATTAATATTCTTGCAGGAGAATAGGGCCATCCTGAGGCATATGCAGCTGCATAGGACACCACTAAATTTTGGGCAACTGGTGCCCCAAATTTAGTGGTGCCTTATGCTGCTGGCTTTGGTGGCCCCATCCCCTGGCCGCGCTCCTGCTTCCCCATCCTGCGGGCTCAGCGACTCAGTGTCGGGACTCTGGTAGCCTCCATCCTCATACCCCACAGGCTGAGCATCTAGCTTCTGCTCACCAGGTGGTAGTGAACAGCGTGAGCATGGGCTGAAGGACTTAGACAGAGCACAGGGCAGCCACGCAGTCAGTGGCTGCAGAAAAATGGCACTTTCCCCTTCAAAGCACCACTTTTCTCCAGCAGGCATTTGCATGGCTGCCGCTGCTCCTCTGGCCCATGCTTTCACCACCCGCCGTTGCTGGTACCTTCCACTTGCAACATATGTCTAAGGACAGGACACAGGATTATAGGCAGTGCCAGCTTCAGCGGCCCCACTCCCTATCTGCCTGCTCCCCCTCCCTCAAGCTGCTGGTGAACCTGCAGGTGAGCCTCCCTCCCTGCTCTGCTCCAGGGCTTGACTTCTGGTCTGGTAGAGTTGGTAACCCCTTATCCCCACAGATTCTGTCTTCTTGCAGCCCTCCCCCAGGAGTAACTGCTCTCCCCATGGGGATTAAGGAAATCCTAGGCAAACACTTGGAAGGTAATAAAGTGATAGGGAATAGCCAGCATGGGTTTGTGAAGAACAAGTCATGCCAAACTAATCTGATAGCTTTCTTTGATAAGATAACGAGCCTTGTGGATAAGGGAGAAGCGGTGGATGTCATATACCTAGACTTTAGTAAGGCATTTGATACGGTCTCGCATGATATTCTTATTGATAAACTAGGCAAATATAACTTAGATAGGGCCACGATAAGGTGGGTGCATAATTGGCTGGATAACCGTAGTCAGAGAGTTGTTGTTAACGGTTCTAAATCCTGCTGGAAAGGGATAACAAGTGGAGTTCCTCAAGGGTCTGTTTTGGGACCCGTACTGTTCAATATCTTCATCAATGATGTAGATATTGGGATAGAGAGTACGCTTATTAAGTTTGCAGATGATACCAAACTGGGTGGGGTTGCGACTTCTTTGGAGGATAGGGACATAATTCAAAATGACCTTAGCAAGTTAGAGAAATGGTCAGAGGTAAACAGGATGAGGTTTAATAAAGAGAAATGCAAAGTGCTCCACTTAGGAAGGAACAATCAGTTCCATACATACAAGATGGGAAGCGACTGTCTAGGAAGGAGCATGGCAGAAAGGGATCTAGGGGTCATAGTGGACCACAAGTTGAATATGAGTCAACAGTGTGATGCTGTTGCAAAAAAAGCAAATATGATTCTAGGTTGTATGAACAGGTGTGTTGTAAGCAAAACTCGTGAAGTCATTCTGCCGTTCTACTCTGCACTAGTTAGGCCTCAGCTGGAGTACTGTGTCCAGTTCTGGGCGCCACATTTCAAGAAAGATGTGGAGAAATTGGAAAGGGTACAGAGAAGAGCGACAAGAATGATTAAAGGTTTAGAGAACATGACCTATGAAGCCAGGCTTCATGAACTGGGCTTGTTTAGTTTGGAAAAAAGAAGATTAAGGGGGGACATGATAGCGGTTTTCAAATATCTAAAAGGGTGTCACAAGGAGGAAGGAGAAAATTTGTTCCTCTTGGTTTCTGAGGACAGGACAAGGAGTAATGGGCTTAAAGTGCAGCAGGGGAGGTTTAGATTGGACATTAGGAAAAAATTCCTAACTGTCAGTGTGGTCAAATATTGGAATAAATTTCCAAGGGAGGTGGTGGAATCTCCCTCTCTGGAGATATTTAAGAACAGGTTAGATAGACATCTGTCAGGGATGGTGTAGGTGGAGCTTGGTCCTGCCTTGAGGGTGGGGGGCTGGACTCGATGACCTCTTGAGGTCCCTTCCAGTCCTATTATTCTATGATTCTATGATTGGTAGTGTCGATGCTGGGCTGCATAGGGCACCAGCACTGGTAGGGACAGCTGTGCAGGAGAAAAAAGCTTGGTTTGGGTTTTACTTTTCAGAAGAATCCATTTCAAATGCTTACTGGCCTGTAAAGACAAGGGAGCTGTACCTCAAGTGATAACCGGTTGAATCTACTAATTTAATGCAGTATGATTGCATCATAAATTTATGAATGCATGCCCACATAGGAGGGAATGGCACAGCTATCTGCCTATACATACGTGAATTAAGCATGGTAGAATTAGAAACAACACAAGCCCAATTTACATAGAAATCATACAGGGATGGGAAGCTTACAAGACAGGAAGAATGGCATGACGTTATCCTACCTCTTGAAACAAGTTCTTTGGGCTTTGGAAGATAAAAGTAAAGATGGACGTCACTTATGACATCCCCTACTAGATGGACACAAGAGACCAGAGTATTTGCAATCTGAGAAGGACAAATCCTAAAAGTAGGGGTGAGAGAAGGAATTGGAATTGAATACAGATATGAAGGAATTGGAATTGAATATAGATCTTTCCTGCTTAGGAACAATCTTTTGCCTAAATTGACAAGGGAGGCCAGCACTTTGTTCTTTTGTGGAAGGTTCTAACTGAGGAAAAGTCAGCCATGCCTTGAAGAACAACTGGTTAGCATAGATGCTGGAACTATGGGTCTGCGGTGAGGGTGCAGTAGCACCCCCGGCTCGAAGTGGCTAATATCATCTGCACAATAAAATTTATTCCAGCACCTATCTTGAATAAAGCCTGTATCTTGCTGTATTAATTTTATACTTTTAGAAGTGTACTTAGTTTTGTTTTATTTGTGTAACTTTATAGTTGAACTCATTGAATCCTTTTTCTGTTTAATAAGTTTTTAATTTTTACTCAGTGCTTCATTTAAAGCAGGTGTGGGGAACCTAAGGTCCAGGAGTCAGATGTGGCCCCTGGCTTTCCACACAGCATGGGGAGTCCACACTGGAACTCCAGTCCCCATGCCACACACCCACCACCCCCCAGTATGGTACTGGAGCAAAATCTACTAACCTGGGCTCCACTAAGCTCTGGTGTGAGAGGAGAATGTGAGGAGTGTCTTTTTCCTTCTCAGTTGGGGGCAACGTCAGTGAAGGTTTTGGGTTTTTTTTCTCACTTGTGTGCAGCCCCTGACTAACTTTTTCTGTGAGTAAGTTGGCACCTGACCCAAAAAAGCTTTCTCAACCCTGGTTTAAAGGGAAGTGTATATTTACGCTAGATAGCTTAATAAGCTGTGATTTCTGTGTGTGTCTCTTTTTTAGAGGAATAAACAAACAATATTTTATTTCCATGAACTGTCCAGGAGAAGACTGCACATTGAAGAACAGAGTTTTGGGAAAACTTGGGAGTGTGTTGTGGTCACCTTTCAAGTAGCTACCAGGGTTCAGAGCTGCTGAAACTACACAGTCAGTCATGGTGTGATCTGCATGCTGGTTGTGTGTGGCCCCTGTTGGAAGTTAGAACAGGAGTACGTTATAAGCTGTGCGCTTGTGCAGCCTTTCAAGAGTTATTCAAATGCTGCCTAACTGATTAGCAGAGTGCCCACAGTTAGGTTTTGTGTTTCTATTGGTGGTGTGCATGCCTTGGTGTGAACACACAAAAAATTCACACATGGACGGAAAAAAATATGCACATGGATGGAAAAGATTAGAGGGAACATTAATTGTGAGGCACCCAGGACAGGTGGTGTCATAACTTCTCCCTGATTCAGATTGCACTCCTGAATGTGGCAGTGGTATCCTTTTTATTGCATTGGGAAATTCAGATTATTTCATAGGTAAAGTTATAACCTGGAAGATTTCCATATCTAGTACAAAGCTAGTTGTTTGAGGGAAATAAGCCTTAGAATGTACTGATTTAACTAGTGATCACTTCTTTTGTTGTTGATGTTTTTGATAAGGTTGTGGTCAAAACAAAAACAGAATATGAACCTGATCGCAAGAAAGGAAAATTTCGTACTCCCAAAATAGCTGAATTCACAATCAGCATCACTGATGGAGTTTCTGAAAGATTTAAGGTAAGCAGGACTTTCTATGATGTTTATAATTCAGTTACTGTTAATTACCAACTGTAGTAAAAGAAAACTGGATTTAAATAACAAAGATATGGCAGAAAATTTTAAAAAATTGAGTGCAATTATGGTATATCTTAACATTATTAATTAGTACCATCTCCTGTAGTCCTTACATTCAAGTTTTCCACTCCTTACTTTTGACAAAAATCCCACTGAAGTTTCAGTCAATGGGAGTTCAGCATGATTAAGTGGTGAATATCTTATGGACTTGTAACTCGCATTATGTGACTAATACCCCCATTAGTGTTAGAGGATAAATATTACATGGGCATTCCCTTTCTTTTTTGCTTATTTTTTATCATATTGAAAACATTCTTTTAAAGGAGCAGTCTTTTTCCCTAGTATTATTCCTTGTGATAGTTGATGACTATAAATGCATTGAGTGATTTGATGGCTCAGGAAATTAGTAACAGAGCTGTCTGCCACCAGCTTACTAGTTCAGATGTATCCCTTAGTATGGTGGTTTTATGAAAACTGTTACCCTCTGATGCCTCTTCATTGAAAGTGGGTGGCTTAAGTACATTTCTTGGTGAAAATATATCCACATCACAGTAATTCCCTTTGTTGGGATTGTGACAGAGGTGAAGGATTTAACAGATTAAAAGACTTGAATCACTCTCCCCATAGAGGATGGAGTTCCTCGAGCCATATTATCAAGACACAGTGATGAAATGACAGCAACAATGCAAATTCTGTCAAATTTCTGTTTCCTGTGCTATGGCACCTTGCACAGACATTAAGTTCAGGCAGAAAACAGCTTAAAATATTTAGTAGGTGAAGGCAGTTTAGTGCACAGACTAAAAAGTGGCTGAAAGGTTTAAGGTTTAGTTTGGAGATAAAATGTTGGGCTGAAATAAAGGAGCATATTCTCTTCCCAGTGCATATGGGCAACTCCCATTAGTATTAATGGAAGTTTTATGGCACATCAACATGCTCTTAAGCATGCAGAATAAAACCGTGATACAGAAAGTTCTGAGAGCAGATTTTGGCCCAAAAAGGTATATAGATAGCTTTCACTGAAATCAAAGCAATCTGTATGCATATAACCAACAGTAGAATTGGAGTCTTTGTGCCTGTGCTGAAAGAGAGCTGAGCAAATAAGATCTCTCTAAGCAACAAGTAAATTGCTTGTCTCACACTGTAGTGTAGTCATTTCTAATTTATAGGGCTGTGCAGTTAGAAGCAAAAGCATTTTATGTAGCATTTTTATGTACTTTTGGATGGCATACTTGAAACAAAATGTCTTTTAGATATGACTTTACAATTACCACTCTGGGATTAATTTCAAACTACAGGGTTGCTAGGTAGTGCTGCTAGGTAACTGCTGCATCAGAGAGAGGTTTCTGTAAGATTTTTCTATCTCTAGGGGTTTGCATGATGAATCACACTATGGCTGTATGTCTAGGTTTCTGAAGAGAGGACATGCGGGTTGACCAGTTAGGAAAATTGCAATTTAGTTAATAGAAGATAGTAGTTTTATACAGAACAATGAAGCCCTAAAAATGTTCCTCAATTTCCTTATAACAGAGGTAGGATTAAATTATACTGCTTTGTAACATTTTAGAAAGGACTGACTACTGCTTTAGCAGAGACGATTGTCGTATTCTCCACTCCCAGTAGTAAACAGTTCATGAATAATTGATGACATTTCATAAATATGCAGATAAAAAGAAGAGATTGTTATGGAGTTTTCTCCTGGGTCCTTATTAATTGTGAACCATCATGTTAACTGCTGCTGTTGATTCTGAGAGAGCAAAAGGATGTTTGTTTGAAAGTTAAATATTTGCTATAATTATAAAGCACATTATTTAACTGGTGGGATATTGACTTTGGTTTGTGTGAATGAAAAAGCTTCAGAAGTTGTTTTAATGACTTGTACATCAGCTATGCATCTGCTTTCTACGGACTAAAAACATAATACTGTACTAAAAATATAAACAAACAAATTTACTAATAATTCACATGTGTATTCCAAGATGTTAGTCCTTAAATAAAAACAGATTGTGTTTTTGGGATTCAGTAGTGCAGATCATCTAAAGCTGTGCTGCTTAAGAAGTTCCACATTATGGAAAACTATAAGCAGTCAGTATGTGCATATGTCATGTACCTCATTTGTTGCAGCAATTGGGTGAATATGAAGTTATAAAATATATTCTCTGCATTCAATCTATACTGTCATAGTTATAATAGAGGTCAAATTGTTTATGGAGTAGAATTAAAGTATATTTTTTCCTAAAGCTTAATTAGATGTATACAGCTAGACTCTGATCTATGACTTCAATGCAACTGAAATTAGAATTTGGTTCAGGTGTCCAAAATGGGCAGAACATGAACACTGTCTGTATAGGATGGGGTGGGCAATAAGATGGAGGCAGTTTGCTAGGATTAGTCCCTGGTGGGCCACCGCTGCTATATTTATCTGTGGCTTCCACAGATGCAGGCACTTGCAGCTCCTGTTGGCTGTGGATTGCCATGGGAGCTGTGGGAAGCAGCACTGACTGGGATACCATTTCTTGCAGCTCCCATTGTCGGGGAACAGCGATCCGCGGCCAATGGGAGTTGCAAGTGCCCATAACTGTGGAGTCGCAGATAAATACAGTGGTGGCAGCCCACCAGGGGCTAACCCTAGCGAACTGCAGACAGCCTGGGGGCTTGTTATTGCCTACCACTGGTATAGGTCAACTCTATTCTGGTTTTCCACAAGTAACCACTCCTGTATGGATATGAATTTAAATGGCTAGTTATGAGTGGTTCTCTTCCAGTTTACCAAGTAAGTCCTGAGCCTATACTCTAACATAATGTCAGGGGTCCCTGTACTGTGGAAGGGGCAGCATGTCAGCTGAGAAATCAAATTGACATTATGACCATTTGGTTAGGAGCGCAGGGTGTGTTTTACAGCACTGTTAGCCTGCAGTGTTCTAGTCAGACTTAGTCTTGAGTAATTATGTTTTGCCTACTTTAAATTCTCTTGGAATTTAAACAGAATGCTATCTGTTTAGCATTGTTGTATTTCCTCCCAGACATGCCTGCATTCATTGGTAAGTAGAGTATATGTGTAGGTTGTGAATCATGTGGATGAAACTAAAGGTCAATACAAATTCTTTTTGTATGGCGCTGCATGTGCATTACAGAGAAATCAGAAACAAGGACTACAGTCTAAATTGCTTAATATGGAGACGTAGACTGGGGAATGGAACATGGCTAAGCAAGTGGCTGAGCAGGGAAACCTGGAATATGCTGTGTTAGTTTCACATTTACTAACATGAATGCTTTTAGGAGGAGAGGAATAGGATTTATATGCCTCCTGAAGGCTGGGTCTCCTCGCCTCTCCCCCCCCCCCCTGGAATTTCTTCACGCCACAAGTTTGGGAACCCATGATATAATGGGTTAACAAAAGGCTCCAGGCAGAAAGGGGCTGCTTGACACATAGTGTGGATGTGAGGACTCAAAAGGAGCAGTAAGCCAAGTTTTGCAGGACAAGAAAAAGTGCAAGGAGAGAAGAACTGAAATGGCGGGAGCTAAATTGGATATGGCATTGAAACAAATTGACTTTTAGCTAAGGTGGTTAAATTTAATTCAGAAGGGGATGGGAAATCAGGAAAGGATTTGAAGAGGGGCAGACAGTGTTGGAGCAGTGGATAACTTTGCAGTAGCATTTTAGGTTGATTGAAAAGAAGCAAAATAAATATCAGCAAAGAGAGGGAGGTTGCAATAGTTAAGGAGACAGGTGAATACAATTTAGACTTTTTTTTTGCAGCTGTGGTGTAGGGGAATGGATTGATAAAATGTTATACCTGTTGGATTGCTATTCAGACTTTTTAATTTTTGTCTATCCTTTTTCTCTGTTTAATTGTCAAGAATCTATGAGGGGTTTTCCCCCCAGTATTTCCAAACTCCATATTTATCTGTCTGTACTAAGAAACCTTAGTTTATTTGACAGTCAACTCTTGACTCCATTATTACATAGTAGGCATCTGCCAACATTCTCTGACTACTGACAAGCAAACCCCCCCCCCCCCCGCAAAAAATGTTGGGAATCCCTGTCTGTATAAACAGAAGTCTCAGAACTGAATAGTCTGTGTTTAGAAGAGGACGGGAGTCCTGGCTCCAGCTTCTCCTGCCCTTTCAATAGGGTTGAGGATAGCATTACCAACTGTTTGGTAGCTTGCTTGGGGGCTTGCTGAACCTGTCCTGGGCAGATGGAATGCTAGAGTCTGCTGCCTCCCTGGAAGATCAGTTTGACCTTCTTGAGGGAAGTTTCCCTGAAGCCTTCCAGGAATCATCTTGGGAGCTGTAGAGCTGCTGCCTGCTCTCTCCCAGAGGTGTCCAGCAGTTCACTGGAACTTCCCTACTTTCTGAACCCTGATTTCATCCCTGACATGACTGACCAGGGCTGGAGAGGCAGGCCAGCTTTGTCCATATCAGTTCTTTAACCCGTTTGTCACCAGTGCAGGGTTTATAAACTTACCACATTTACTTTGGCTAGTCTTCTACTTAAAATCTGTTCCGAAATGTGTCATATGTTTAATATGTTATCTCTCTTGTTTTGAGCAGTTACACACCAGTTCTCTCTAAAATCAGCTTGAAAAGGAGTCTCTCAAGTGAGGTGCAACATTTAGGTTTTTTTCTCTAGTAATATATTTTAAAGAACAATGTAATAGAAATATTTTACACTAACTATTTTGTACTTATAACAATTGTTTTAAGCAGCAATTACTCCTGTTCAATGGTGGAAACCCAAATGCTTCCCAGGAGAGTACTTAGGCATGTACGCTCACTAGCACACAAACACTCCACTCCCACTGTGTCGATACCTCAGGCACTCCGCCAACAGGCTGCCATGAGCAAAAGAGATGCAAAGTCCCCTTGGGGAAAAGAGCAGCTGTGTCTGTATCAGAATTTCTACCTTCTTCCCCCCTTTAAACAAAGGATGAGGGTGAACT